TGCATGGGACTTTGGAGACAGTGTGTATGTGTCAAATTTAATATGCAATTTGTTGTGTGACTGTGGGCCTTGGTATCTGCTAGGATTTGGTTCCTGGACCCCCCGTGGATACCAAAATCTGTGGATGCTCAAGTCCCATTATGTACAATGGCACAGTAAAATGGTGTCCCTTATATAAAATGGCAATCAAGGTTTGCTTTGGGGGATTTACATATTTTTGAAATATTTTCAAAATATTTGAATCAATGGATTAAAAAAATCTGTGAATATGGAGGGTCAACTGTGTTCATACAAACAAATTGTGATGGTGTTTGCAATATTCAATTGCACTTGGCCCCACAGAACCCAGAACAAAGTACATTTTAACTTGCAAGCTTCCCTTGACAGCCTAGCCCTGATTCTCCCTTGGTTAAATTTCTCATATACACTGTGATGCTATATTACTTTAAGGATGCAGAGGGTAATTGATTCATTCACCTGGGACTTCAGAGCAGACTGGGAATAATCATAAAATTATAAGAGTTGGAAGGGACTGCAATGGCCATCCACTCCAACCCCTTGCCATGCAAAAATACATAATGAAAGTACTCCCGAGAGATGGCCATCCAACCTCTGTTTAAAGAGCTCCAGAGAAAGTCCACCACCCTCCAAGGCTGTCTATTCCACCTTTGATACTTCTTCTCAATGTTTAGGTGGAATCTCTTTTCCTGTAGCATGCATCCACGGCTCCATGTCGTATTCTCTGGAGCAGCAGAAACGCTTGTTCCATTCTCAATATGACACTCCTTCAAATATTTGAAAATGGCTATCATGCCACCTCTTGAGCTTCTCTTTCCCATGTTAAACATATCCAGCTCCCTAGTAAAGGCAGCCAGTGTGTTGTAGTGGTTTGAGCGTTGGACTACAACTCTGAAGACCAAGGTTCAATTTCCTGCTCAGCCATGGAAACCCACTGGGTGACCTTAGTGCAAGTCACATGCTCTCAGCTTCAAGGGAAGGCAATGGTAAAATCTCCTCTGAACAATTCTTTCCAAGGAAACCTCATGATAGGGTCGCCATAGATCGGAAACGACTTGAAGGCACACAACACTCACGTGGTAAAGTGAAGCTCTGTGTTTGCTTCTGGAATTTATACCACCATGGTCTACATCAGGATCGAAATCACGTGGCCTTCCTGAAGCTTTAAACTGAAATTTCCAGCTGTATAGCCAATGGGGAGAAAGCTAGGAGCTACAGTCCAACATCTGGCAGGCTGTAGGATTCCCACTCCTGGTTTAAATCCAGATGTTAATCCCAACTAGAGGATACAACTTGATCAAGGGCTGCTCTGCACTGCAGAAATAATGCAGTTTGACACCGCTTTAATTGCCATGGTTCCATGCTACAGAATCCTGGGATTGGTAGTTTGTCGCAGCACCAGAGCGCTCTGACAGAGAAGGCTACATATCTCCCAGAACTACAGAATTCCATAGCATTGAGCCATGGCAATTAAAGTGGTGTCAAACTGCCTTATTTCTGCAGTGCAGATCAGAGCTTAGTGCACAGTCTGTTTGACTGCTAAACATCTCTTATTATCGGGAAGTTTTTCCTAATGTTTAGATGGAATGTTTTATTCTTGCAAAGTGAATCCACTCTTCTAGTGTCCGAAGCAGCAGAAAACAAGACTGCTCCATCTTCTGTTTGTCATTCTTTCAGATATTTAAAGAAAGCTATCACATCACCTCTTAGTCTTCTCTTCTCCGAGCTCCCAAAGCTGTGTCTCATATGTTCCTGTATTCTCTGATTTTATAAGGGAACAGAGGAGAGATAGGGAAGGAGGCCAGTGCATATATTTCTTTTCACTGACCATTGTGGAATATCCTCTATCTGAGGTTTGCAGAGAATAGAATGTGAAAGCAAAATTGTATGTATATAAGAGAACCAAGCTTAGCAAGGGGTGGTTAATGTGAAAGCTGGAAGGGGAAGCTAAGATGAAGTTGTGAAAAGTGAGCTGGAATTAGAACTAGGGTTGAAGGGGAAGCAGAGATGAAAGCAGAGCAGAGACAAGGCCAACACAAAGGAAACCAAGAAAGGCGTCCAAAGCAGAGAAATAGCCAGAGTGTGTGATGCTCGAAATGTGGAAAAATGGTTTGGGAAGCAAAGTTGTGGCTGTTTTCATAGTAGATTAATGCACCTTTCTAAACATAGTTTGAGTGCTGGACTATGACTCTGGAGACAAGGGTTTGATTCCTTGCTTGGCCATGAAACCCACTGGGTGACCTTGGGCAAGTCACACTCTCTCAGCCTCAGAGGATGGCAATGGCAAAGCCCCTCTGAAGAAACTTGCCAAGAAAATACCATGATAGAGTTGCCTTAGGGTCACCGTAAGTTGGAAGTGACTTGAAGGCACACAACAACGACAACAACAAAAGAGGTTGATATTGCTATGGCTTGCAGTTATTGGTTACCCACCCATGCTTAAAGCCTTAACACTACCCAAAAAGGGGATTCATTTGTGGGATAAAAAGTCTGCGGGCTGCATTGGTGGAAAGCTTAGCAAATAATAATAATAATAATAATAATAATAATAATAATAATAATAATAATAATAATAATAATATTTTTTATTTATAGCCCACCCCTCTGCACAGCAATCAGGGCGGGTTACAACATTTTAAAACAACACAAGTTAAAACATTCCCTCCTCAGATAATCCACCCACCCAACCCCTTAAAACAAGATTAAGCCAAGAAAATATTAAAACAGCAATAAAGTTAAAATTGTGAGCCAGCAACTAAGAATCAGCAGACCGATGAAGCAAAGTCTCCACTCCCAACGGACAGATATTATCCTGGGAAGGCCTGCTGGAAGAGATCCGTCTTTACTGCCTTTTTGAAAGCAGCAAGAGTAGTAATCAGACGGATCTCGTCCGGCAGGCCATTCCATAGTCTGGGAGCGGTTGCGGAGAAGGCCCTCTGGGAGGTCTGGGACAGCCTAGTTTTCATTGGCTATAGCAGGTTTCTCCCAGAGGACCGCAGCACGCGGGGGGGATTGTATGGGGAGAGGCGGTCCCTAAGATAAGATGGA